GATCTCTGCAGGTATTAGGCAATATGCAACACAAGTACACTTACATAACCCAGGAAATACACTCATAAAAATGATAAATAATTTTTAATGTTCAGTCATAATCTTTCACATCAGGGGTTTAGCGAATGCATGAAGATATATGTGAAATGCAAGAAACAGATAGAGGGGCTTCCATCAACTAAATAATGGGGCTTTATCTAAAAGCAAGATACTTTCATCTTCCCATCCTGCATCAGCACAGCGCTGGCTTATAAGAAGTGTTAGGTACCAGTTTTGTTGGCGTTCTTCTGGTATAGTGCATAAATCACAATGAGTGATCATCTTGTGTTCACTAGGACAAAGCATAATAAAAAAAATATGATAAAATTAATAAAAAAGTCCTTTTAAGTAGAGAGTCAATCTTTTACATTTACTATAGATTGAAGTCTCAAAGCAGTAAGACAAGAGAAAGAAATAAAAAGGATGCAAATAAGAAAGAAATAAAATAATTTCTATTGACAAAAGGCATGATTGTATACATAAAAGACCCCAAAGACTTCAGCAAAGTATCAAGTATCAAAGTCAACACACAAAATGCAGTGGCTTTCTTACATACCAATAAGAAACATGCTGAGAAAGAAATCAGGAAACAGGTGCAATCACAATGATCTCAAAGAAAATAAATACCTATGAATAAACTTAAGGAAGTGAAAGACCTCTATAATGAAAATGTGAAATTATGAAGAAAGAAATTGAAGAGGAAGATAGAACGATCTCCCATGATCATAGATCAGAAAAATTAATATTGTGAACATGGCTATCTTACTACTAAAAACAATCTACACAATAAATGCAATCCTTATCAAAATTCCAATGACATTTATCATAGGAATGGAAATAGAAAAAAGTTCTAGAATTCATATGCAATCACAAAAACTCTGAATAGCCAAAGCAAAGGACCAAAAGAACAATCTAGAAGGATCACAATACCTGACTTCATGTTGTCCTACAGAGTCACAGTAACAAAGTCAACATGGTGCTGACAAAAGATAAGCAACAATAACAGCACAAACATATAGATTCATGGAATGGAACTAGGCATATGGTTATAGCCACTTAATTTTTGATAAATATGCCAAAAACATACATTGGAAAAAGGGCAACTTCTTCAACAACTGCATATCCATATATAAAAGAATAGAACTAGATCCTTATCTCTCAGCCTGTAAAAAACAATTACAAATGAATCAAAGACTTTAATTTAAGACCTGAAACTCTGAGATGTAAGAGGGATCCACTTCAAGATAATGATAATATTCCCATTATTCAGGAAAGAATGGCAACAATTGACAAATGAGACTTCATGAAATTTAAAAACATCTACACAGCAAGGGAACAGTTAACAGAGTGAAGAGAGCACACACAATGAAAGAAAATCTTTGCTAACTGTACATCTGACAGGATTAATATCTAGAGTATTTGAAGAACTCTAAAAACTAAACACCAAAAAATCAGACAACCCAATCAGTAGATGAGCTAATGAAATGAGTAGTCAATTCTCAAAAGATGAAAAACAAATTGGCAATAAATATATTAAAGAATGTTCAACATCTTTGATCATCAGGGAAGTGAAAAATTAAAACTACATTGAGATCCACCCCCTTCCCAATGAGAATGGCTATAAGAAAACAACTGACTACAAATACTATGTAGAAAGAAAAAAATCCTATATACTGCTGAGAGGAATGTAAATTAGTCCAGGCAATCTGGAAATCAGAATGGAGGTTCCTCAAAAAATTAAAAATACATCACCATATGACCTAATTGTACCATTGTGGGTACATACCCAAAGGATGCTAGGTCAGCATGCCATAGAGATACTTGCATACCCATGTCTATTACAGCACTATCCACAATAGCCATTATGAAATCAGCTTTAGTGTCTGTCATTAGATTAACAGATAAAGAAAATGTGAGATATATATGTGTGTGTGTGTGTGTTACACATATATAATGAATTTTTATTTAGCCATAAAGAATGACACTATGTCACTTACTGGAAAATGGATGCAACTTGGGATCGTCATTTTAAATAAAATAACCAGGCATCAGAAAGACAAAGATCACATATTTTCTCTCATTTGTGGATCCTAGATTTTATATAGATATTTAAAAAGGGTGTGTGTGTGTGTGTGTGTGTGTGTGTGTGTGTGTGTGTGTGTGTGTGATGAAAGCAGAGAGAGGACTGGGAGAAGAAGAGTCACAGTAAAAGGCAGAGTGAGGGGGGGTAAAGAGGAGGGTCCTGGGGAGTCACTATGATCAAAATACATGATATGCTTGAAAGAAATTGTCAAGAAGCACAGCACCATGAAGAATCAAAATACATCAATAGAAACAGAAAAGAGGGATTAGTAGAATAGATGAAAGCTGAAAGCTGATTTTGAGTCCAACCTTATTGTTAAGTATTAGCCCTACCACTTAATAAGGGTTTGACACTGAGCTGGTTAACAATTCTGTCATTTTCTGTCAACTTGACACAACCTAGACATAACTAGAAAAAAGGACTCTCAGTTCTGGAATTGCTCCCAATAGATTGGCCTGTGGACATGTCTGTGGTGTATTTTCTTAGTTGTTAATTGATGTAGAAAGACCCAGCCCACTGTGGGTGATGCCATCCCTAGACACTGAGGCCTGGGTTGTGTAAGAGAGGTAACTGAGCAAGCCAGGGGGAACAAGCCCCCGTAAATAGCATTTTGTTTCTGCCTCTGGGTTCCTACCTTGACTTTGTGCCTTGATCGTTCATGATGACAAACTGTAACCTGGAAGCCAAATAAACGCATTCCTCCCAAAGTTGATTTTGGGCAGTGTTTTACCACACCAACAGAGAGCAAATCAGAACAAATTCCAATCTCACTTTCTTTGTCTTTGAATCAGAATGTGTCACACATATTCCTCATATTGAATTTAATGAGTTAATCTTCTAAAGCTCTACAATAATGCCTGACAGACAATTAGCACTATACAAATTTTAGCCATAATTATTTGATTCTTATGGTTTGCTCAAGAGATAATATTTTTAATTGTTCTGCTATTCTCAGAAGCCCTGATAATTAAAGCCCTTACTTTTCACTAAGAAAAAAGCATATGAAACTAAATTCATTCGCTTCATCAGTTCTTTGATCTAATGAGTCTTATCATGAAATACATAGACTGGATGCCTGCTATGCCTAGATTCCTTAGCTTACTGTTGATGCTGCTACCCTTAGTGTCCAAAATTCTTCCTTGCCTCATTACACATTTTCAGAAAGATCAATATGTATGTAACATTGTGTCTCCTGGGTTTCAAGAATGAGTTATTATCTTGCATGTTCTTGGCTACAAGCTCTACAAGCACCCTCACCTCAATGATTGTTTTCCTCATTATTTCATCTAACTGACCCAGAATATTTTATACAAATCTGGATAATGGAAAAATCTATAATGTCATGGGAAATCTTTTCTGATATTATCTGTTTTTATTTCAGCAAGGTAACAGCATCAGCATCATTTGTCTTTCCAATCATAGCCAGCTCCATTACTTGTGAGTCCCATTATTTTCTCAAGAGTTATACCAACTTGCCCCCAGCCATCCATCACCACATCCTTGCATCCTTTTATTTATTTAGTGGCACAATGCCAAGGTTTCATGTTAGAATGGATTTTCAATTTCAAGCCATCTTTGATTTTCTCAATTACTTTTCTAACCTTCTGAGATAAACATTAAGAACTTGGCCTTGGAGCTAGAGAGATATCTCAGTGGTTAAGGACACTGACTGTTCTTGCAGAAGATCTGGGTTTGAATCCCAGCACCCACATGGCAGCTAACAACTGTCCATAACTCCAGTTTCAGGGGATCCAACACCCTCTTCTGTCCTCCTCGGGCACTGCGTGACACGGGTGCACTTACATACACATACGCAATAAACACATACATATAAAATAAAAATACAAAAAGAACTTGGCCTCTATAGTTTTTCTCCCTTCCTAGGTTCTGAGGTCTGAATGAAATACAGTTTCCTCTCTGAGATAGCTGGGCCTCTCTTGGCTTGAGCTGCTTCTTAAAATAGTGCTAAGGTTTGTACTTTCCTATGGTCCTCTCCCCAAAGTGGAATCCCTGAAAAACTTAGAAAACTCGTCTCTCCCTTCCTTCCCAGCAGCTTCAGAGATGGACAGCTGATACTGTTGCTTTGTTTGTTTTCTTTCTAGCCCAAGCTCAGCATAATGCTGAAGAAATATTTCCAGAGCAATAAAAACTGCCAGTATTAAAATGTCTTAAATGTGAGATTTTATAGAACACATCTTTTCCTGGTCTAAAATCCTTGTGCATCCCATTTTCATATAATTAATTCTTAACAGTAAAGCAATAGAAAAATATATTTCTCCATAATTTCTAAGTTCATAATATGTGGTGACACACATTTCTATAATATATTCATCAAATCCAGTGAGAAGAGCCAAAAATAAACTGAAGCTATAACTTCCTCCCCAGAAGAGTTTCATCGGTGGAATTCCTTTTAACAAAGAGCTCGATGATGGCTGAATTTCCTATAAATGTTTTACATTCCACTTAGGACCTCACTCTGGATTCATATAAGACTTAGCCCAGAAAAAAATTAAGGAACCTGATCATATGTTAATGTCCATAAAATTCTTTATTAATTGGAGTATTTGACTAAATAGACTCTTCATGTATTATTTAAAATGCACTCTATTTTATTTGTTTATTTTTATGTGTATGAGTGTTTTGCCTGCATATATCTGTGTACACATGCATGCAATGCCTGCAGAGGTCAGAAGAGGGTGTCAGAGTCCCTGGAACTGAAGCTGTGGATGATTGTTAGCTGCCATGTGGGTGCAGGGAACTGAACCTGGGCCCTCTGCAAGAGCGTCAACTGCTTTTAACTGCAGAGCTATCTCTCTAGTCTCCAAATTACATTATTTTTGAAAAACACTTATATATTTGCCTTTGTTTTCTCATTCAGGGACCTCCTGGGTTACAAGGAATACAACAAAATCTTGGTGGCTATTTCAACAAGGTACAACTTCTTTATTCCCACAATCATGTGCATAGAGATTTTATGTGATTACGTGTTTGGGGAAAAAAATCCTATTAATTCCTAACTTCTCAGAACTTGAGACAGGATCACATATATTAAGGATCACATATATTCTAAACATCTTTCCATAGTGACTGAACATTTCCAAATTTAAAAATTAAAAAATTATTGAGCATATTACTATAAACCCAGGATTTTGGTTATAATATTTTCAAAAAAGTAGTTCAAAGTTTGACAATGCAAGTGCAGAAAGAAATTACTTGCCACTCTGAAGCTCTCATAAAAGTGAAATTTCGGGGCTGGAGAGATGGTTGAGTGGTTAAGAACATTGGTTGTTCTTGCAGAAGACCCAGGTTCCAATCCCAGTACCCACATGGCAGCTAACAACTCTCTGTAAATCCAGTCCCAAGGGATCTGACAGCCTCTTCTGACCTCCATGGGCATTGCACGACATGGGTGCACTTACCTACATGCAGGCAATACACACATACACATAAAATAAAAATAATAATTAAAAAAGTGAGATTTCTTATCGAAATCAGTAGATGCTTCACTAAAATCTCAAGCAAATGTTTGCATCCCATAGATTACGAGCAAGAGTCTCCCCAGCAGGAACAGCTTTAAACCTACTTAGGGTCTTTTTCATCACAACTGGGAAGAGTGCTGGCATGGAAGTATCTGAGAGGCTAGTTCTTTAGACTCTGATTCTACACATGAATGGGTGTTGGCTCAAAGACTTGGATGAACTCATTGATGGAATTATCATCTATTAACAACACACAGGGTTTGATGACATAGGGGACCCTATTCAGTGCATTTTTGTCCATCAGTGCTCAAAATGACCCTCATTAGGGTCCTTTCAGTACATAGTAGCTCGTCACTGGTACCTTGTGTCACACAAAAAGTTAGAGACAGCCTCCCTTGTGTCTTTTCTTCATGTTTTCTTGGATATTTTTCCATGACTACCATTGCATGTCTCTAGTCACAAATTCCAAGACACTGTGTTCCAACCGGAGACTTTAAAAAGAGATTTATTTATTTTATGTGTATGAGTGTTTGTCTGCATGCAGGTATATGCACCACATGTGTGCAGTGCTCACAGAAGCCAGAAGAGAACATTGGATCTCCTGGAACTGGAGTTACAAAAGGTGTGAGCCACCATGTGAGTTCTGGGAACCAAACCTAGGTCCATGGATAGAGCAGCCAGCATTCCTAACTGTTGTGCCATCTCTCCAGCCCTGGTCCAGGGCTAGAAGACAACTGGTAGTCAAAAAAATATTCTTATTGTTCAAAGAGAACTTAATTTTAAAATCTCAATTTTTTGTTCATCAAATCAAATTGAGCATAAAGACATAGGTAATCTGTATTTGATAAATTTAAAATCAAGCATGTAGACACTTTGTTGTACTTTAAGATAATGATCCTGTCTTGAATTTTTTCATTTATTTGGGTTTTCCAGGGAGCATTAGAAAGATTGTTTAGGATATGTTTTCTGATTCTTTATTATCTTTTTTAAATATCTTAAATAAATTGATACTAGCTTGTTCAAAACATTAGGGGTTGGCACGGTTAAAAAAGGTAAATGGAAGCTTATCTAAATTTAATCAATGTAATGACATTTGTAATGACATCTATTGTTATAAAATAGGACTTATCGTAAAAGCTTCAAAATAATGAGAATAAGTTGGCTCTGATGTCACGATGTCAGCTAGAAAAGTTCAAATAACATACCGTATTACTCTTGCCTTTGGTATAAAATACACCAAGTTGCTACTCAGCTACTTAAATATTTGCTAACTCTTGCAAAACTTTTAAGGTTTATATCTTTGCAGGTCTCCCAACACTACTTCAATATGTACTTTATCTTACCGATGAGTCAGTTTTCCTCAAATGAAAATATATAGAGCTTTTATATTTCCAGAGTCTAAAGTTGAAAATATTAATTTTTAAACTTTAAGGTATAGTTATTTTAATGGGAACTGCCCACAGTAACTGAGTGGGGAGTTTTGCTAGTTGCAGACCAGTACCCGGAACTTAGCTATAATCTCTCCTATAAGAACCCCAAGCTGTCATTATTACCATCACAGAACTGAGCTCTATGGTTAGTCCATGTGTACAATAAATGTGGCTTTTGAGATGGAAGGTAACTGGATAGAGGAGGGACCATTTCTCCCCTAAATATAAACATTTAGAGTCAGAAGTGTTTTGATAAATGGAAAGTAACTAACTTATCAGACACTTTATTCTGTTTCCTTCTGAGAGCCAGTAGAACTCATTGCAGGCCCATGAGGATTGACAAGGAGCCCCACCCCCAATACACACACTGATAGATATTTTTCCATAGTAACCATCTCCTCTTCACCCTCAAATTCCCAAAGGAATGTCCTAAGTGCACTATCATGAGCAAGATTCATTTTTCATTTAGCCTTGTTCCCACCACTCTCATCTGTTTGGGGATTTTCAGTTTGTTTCATTTTGCAGTTTGTTGCATGCCTGATGGTCTGGCTATAACAAACGATCCCAGAGAGAAGGGGGGCTGAGATTAAATAACGGACCATGTACTGAAACATACAAAGTGACACTCCAAGGTTAAAACAATCTTCCCTTTTAAATTGGCATTGATTTATGTGATGCCTGTGCTGAGTCTTGGACTTTAGCTCTTCGGCTGGCAGCAACTCCAGCCAACAATCTGCTGAGGCAGCTACCCATAGGAGGATGATAGCCCACTATTCATGTGTCCCTTCTCCCATCCAAACCAAAAGACCGGATGGGTCAGCCCCATCCCAGGAATCCAAACTTGCCTTTAATCCTCAATAGAGAATTGGTCTAGTCTCTTATACCTTCGCTGTGTCAACCACGTTAGAAACTCAGGCATAAGGAACCTCTTCCCTTCACAGCACAGTTGGGGGGAGAGAGAGAGAGAGAGAGAGAGAGAGAGAGAGAGAGAGAGAGAAAGAGAAAGAGAGAGAGAGAGAGATCAGGAAGATTATATGTGTGTTTATGAGCATTTTTATATGCTTGCTTCAGGATATGAAGAATAAAAGGTAGATTTCCCTCTCCATCACAAAAATAATTTGCAAAACAGCTGCTCCCATTCTGAAAGATTGTTTGCAAAACAGCATCAGTGCTGAGCATATTCTTCCCCTGAAGGAAAATCTGCCTAGTACCCAGCAAACTGTTCTTCACTGTCACCTGCTTGGGGGATTTTAAAGAAAGTTTGATAGGCTCTGTTAGCTTTTAGAGCCATGAGTTCCTACATGGGGGCAAAGTGTTATCTGTGGAGATCAAGTACTGGTGGATTGACCTTTGACATTGTATTTAAAGATCCGCATTGAAAAATGCAGAGTTGTACTGGCTTACAAGAGGCTCACTCAGTCTTAGCTGTTGGAAATTGATACCTCTCAGCAACTAATTCTAGTGTTCATTTCTCTAAATGGCTGATTTAAAAAACCCAATTTTAATGGCAAAATACTCTACTTTCTTCTCATGTGTCAAATTATAACTTCATGTTAACATTTATAGACTAGAAAAGACAGAAAACTTAGTATTCCAAAAGCAAACATTTAAGGTCTGTTTTAATTAAATCCAACAAAGACACACAAAGCAAAGGCTTCCAAGGTGGCAACTCTTCCAGCCCCTGAAGATTTAAAATTAACTTTAAATTCTAATTTCCTGTATTAGTTATTTGACTTGTTGCTGTGACAAAATATCTGACAAAAGAAACTTAAAGAATGAAGGGTTTATTTTGACTCACAGGGTAGATAGAGTCCATCCTGACAGGGAAGGCATGACGGCAGGAGCTTGAGGCTGCTGATGACGTTGCATCTACAGTCAGGAAGCAGAGAGAGATGAACGCTGGTGCTTGGCTCCCTTCTTTTTTTTGTTATTATTTTATGTGTATGAGTGTTATGCCTGCATGTATGCAAGTGCACCTGTGTCATGCAATGCCTGTGGAAGACAGAAGAGGGCATCAGATCCCCTGGAACTGGAGTCGTTAGCTGTCATGTGGGTGCTGGGATTTGAACCCTGGTCTTCTGCAAGAACAGCCAGTGTTCTTCACAGCTGCGACATCTCTCCAGCTCCTCAATTCTCCTTTCGATTTACTCCAGGACCCCAGCCCTGTGGAAATGGTATCACCCACATTTAGGGTGGGTCTTCCTACCTCACTAATCTAGTCTACATAATCATACACAGACATGCTCAGAGATTAGTTTCCATGGTGATTCTAAATCTCATCAAATTGACAATCAAGATTAACTATTCTCTCTCTCTCTCTCTCTCTCTCTCTCTCTCTCTCTCTCTCTCCTTCCCTCCCTCCCTCCATGTCCAGAATCCACTGGCATTAGGAAACATTAGAGACTTAGGCACAGACATACAATACTTTGGAACCTGGTTTGGTTATAGAGAGGCCTAAAAGTTCACCTGTGTCCTCCTATCCCTTTCACAATTAGCAAAACTGTATATATTTTTAAAGTACCTATGAAGCTGGACTTTGAGCCAACACTGAGTATTATTTCAAGTGAGTGAAGCCCTATAGGTTACATATTGTGTTTGAACTTGCTAGGGTTGACTCACATGACACATCACAAATCAAACAGCCTAAGAAACAGACATTTACCATTTCTTAGTTCTGGAGAATAGTGGTCTGAGATGAAGATGCTGGCAGGGCCAGGACACCTCTGATGGCTCCAGGGATGAGTATATTGCAGGCTTTTCTCCTTGTGCCTAAGGATTCCTCACTCATATTGACATGGTAACCTTCCTGAATTTATGTCTCTGTTTTCCCATTTTATAAAGACATAGCCATATTTTGGTAGGGAAAGCTTCATCATAACTAGTTATATCTGCCACCCTATTACCAAATCTACCAAATCATGGTCACATTCTGAAATACAGGGAATCTGACTTCTTTGTATGAATGAGGGCTAGCAGGTAACACAGTTCATGCCATCACAAATAACTTTCATTTTCTTCATGCC